AAGGAATACAAATGAAGGACGTGACGACAAACTTTCGAAATAAAGAGTTACAAGTATGCAGCATTTCCAGCCCTCCGATGACGTACTTGAATCACACGATCCAGAAGACAATCAATGGAATAGAAGCAGAAGTGTACACGATGGACAATGGTACATTAATAGATAAATATCAACTAGTCGAATGCAACTTCTTCCATGAGATTGTAAAAGAAACTGATTTTTAAAACACAGAGTTGGACTGGGATGGCGTGGAAATGAAATTGTTCTTGATAATAGCGGAAAAATTGAATTTTACGTGGACCATAAGGAAACCAGAGGGGAATTACACGTGCATATCGAGATTCCGATGAGTCACATTTTTATTAATTCTACTATTAACTATTAATCGAAGTCTAACTTACTTTCAATTTAATTCTAATTCGTTAGATACGGTCAACGAATCAATGACACATATTGGATGGGCGGCCTGATACAAATGATGCGTGAGCAAAAGGTACACTAATTCATTGTCAAAAATGACCAAGAGATAAAACAAAGAAGCTATGATATTCATTCGACATCTGGCCTTCAGATAGACATGGCATTCGCCAGCATTTGGCTAACGCTGGATCAATACAGATTTGCGAACCTATCCGAATCATGGTATCAGATATACATACACTTTTTGGTGCCACGTCCTCATCGAACCACGAGCTTCTGGGCGCTCAATAGGCCATTCTCGGATGAAATTTGGTTCTTGCTCTTATCTGCATTGCTCTTACATGCTCTTTATACCTACATCCATGCTTGGATCGATCCGAAATTTCCAAGGCGTAAGAACATATATATATATATATATATATATAGTATAAAAATTCTTTTTGCTACACAAAATACTTTTGTACCATCGTCGTTATACGAAACGAAATTTCACCGAAGCACTAACGACTTTGTCACATGATCGTTTCAGAATATCGGAATTTCTTAATTGCCCTGACCGACCTAATCGGTTATTTCATAAGCAGCTCGGTGCCAAGAACTACGCGAAAGAAGACCAACAAACTGCAGATTCTTCTCTGGCAGACCGCAGGCTGGTTAATAATTACAGCTTATTCCAGTAGTCTCGCGGCGAGACTTGCGAGTTCCGAGTACGAGAGCAGGTAACACGCGATGAATCAGTATTTTTCCTCTTGCATAATATTAGATGTTATACATGCATTTTTGTTCCTTTTTTTTTTTTTTTCTTATCAAAAACCGGTATTGATCGCTTGATCAATTGGACCGTCCAATCCGAAAAATATCATAAATAAATGGCATCGATGTTTTCAGAATCGATACTCTCGAGCAGTTCTCCGAGGCGAATTTGCAATGGGGACTAGCAAAAGAACTGCCACCGTTTGATGATTATTTCGACATGACGGTACGTCAGTTCAACGAATACTGTTAAATCAAACTTCATGAAAAATTCGACTCATGTTAAACGCGTCCGATTGAATTATTAGAATCCACATTCAATGAAACTACGGAACAGATTTCATTATATAAAGAAAAACACGCAATTGAAGCAGTTGATTCGGCGAGGTAATTACGCAATTCTGGGGAAAGTAATGGATGACAGTTTTGTTCCAATGGATACCATATCAAACGAAGATTTGAAGGTATCTAGAAAGCTAGTATTTGATATATCTATTCAACGATTATATTAAATGCATATTATGAATGATAGAGAACGCGGGATGAATATTAGAATTACAGATTGATGAGGCAGCCTGTGGGACAGTTCTACACCACTTTCGCGGTTCAACCGTGGCTTCTAAAACCCATAAACGAGGTAAATTAAAATTCTCGATACCTAAACACTAATAAAATTAACATTTGATTTTAACCCATTTGCATCATCGCTCTGCTTAAGCTGCCGCGTTGAAACATCAGC